TTTTTTTTTTTTTTTTTTTTTTATTAAAAGCTAGCTTAGCTGTGTATAATGCAATCATGGGGTACAGTGTGGTGTTTTCACATATAATTTGAAATATTTTCATCAAACTGGTTAACATAGCCCAAATGATAAATTTGTATGAGAGAATAATTTTGTGAGTCTCCCAGTAGCCACATTTGTGTGCATGTCCTAGAAATGAACTCTTGATTTGCTCAGATCTTTTGTTAAAGGGGGATTGAAGGGCTAGGGAATGGCCCACTGGGCCCTTTGGCTGCTGACCTCTGGGATCCACCCTGGTCCCAGACAGCTCCCAGTGTTTTTCCTGCTCTTTGCTCTTTTTTCCAGGCCTCAGAGGCTCAGCCTGTTCCTGTTTCTTTTACTTTTGAGAGGTGTTCTAGGCTGACTCTGCCCCCACGGTTTTTGCTCTGAAGCCTGACAATGGCTTCTGCATTTTCCTCTTTTTTCAATCTTAAAAAATTTTTTATTAAGATACAATATATGTGCAGAAAAGTGCATGTGTTATAAAGGTACAGCTTTGATGAATCATCACAATTCATCATACCCATGTGACAGCACCCAGATCAAGAAACAGTGTTGGCAGGGTACGGTAGCTCACACCTGGCTCTCGAAGGCTGAGGTGAGTAGATTGCTTGAGCTCAAGAGTTTAAGACCAGCCTGAGTAAGAACAAAACCCCATCTCTACTAAATATAGAAAAAACTAGCCAGGTGTAGTGGTGATGCTTATAGACCCAGCTACTTGGGAGACTGAGGCAAGAGGATTGCTCAAGCCTAAGAGTTTGAGGTTGCTGTGAGCTATGGTATACAATGGTACTCTACCCAGGGCAACAGAGAATAAAAAAAGAAAGAAAGGGAAGGAAGGAAGGAAGAAATAAAGAAACAGAGTGTTCCAAATACCTTACAAGCACTTCTTATTCCCCAGATAGCCATTATCTGTCCCTGAGGATAAGCATGGTTCTGACTTCTGACAACTAAGATTAGTTTTTCCTGTTCTTCTACTTTTATGATTGGAATAATATACTTGTTTGTGTCTGGCTTTTTCTCTTGTGATATTATGTTTAAGAAATTAAGCCATTATATTGTTGCATTTTTGTTTTTTGTTTTTATTTTGAGACAATGTTCCCCATGGTAGAGTGCCGTGGTGTCACAGCTTAACAGCAACCTCAAAGTCTTTGACTTAAGCGATTCTGTTGCCTAAGCCTCCCAAGTAACTGGGACTACAGGTGCCTGCCAAAATGCCCAGCTATTTTTTGTTGCAGTTGTCTTTGTTGTTTAGCTGGCCCAGGCTGAGTTCGAACCCACCAGCCTTAGTGTATGTGGCTGGCACTGTAACCACTGTGCTATGGCACTGAGCCTGGGGATTTGGATAGTTTCTAGTTTGGAATGATTACAAATAGCACTGCAGTGAACATTCTTTTTTTTT